TAGCAAATTTACTGCGCCACCCGATCACAACATGATTTTTAGCAATCAAGGCCGGCCAAGCATTTTGGCCACAAAAAGGCTACAGAGCAATGAAAACAAGCAAATAGTTACAAGGCAGTAAAAAGATAGCAGAACAATAAAATCAAGCAAATATCTATAAAGCAACCAAACAGTCACAGACCAGTGAAAACAGATGGATAGCAATAAAGCATTAGAAAGGGCATAGACATGTAAAAATAAGTAAGTAGGGATCAATATCTATAAGTAGGCATCACTATAGTGTAAGTAGATAGATTAAGTAGACATCACTATATATATAGTGATGTCTACTTAATCTATCTACTTACTATTTTTTTTAAACAGACTTCTTTTTTTTGTGTAGCAGTAAAAAACTTTTATTTTTTTTAGGAATTTCATTTTGACTTTTAAGGTTTTCAACTTCGTCAAAATTTTTTTTAGGTTTACCTTTTGCATTTTCATATAAGGAAATATGTAAAATAAAACAAAAAGAACGAAATATGAAGCATGAATATCTATCTATTATTATAATAAAAATATAAATAATGTGTGAAATTACTATATTTGAAGAGAAATTTCATGTAAAATGAATATCAAATTATCCCTTATGGTAAAAATTATCTTATAAAAATCTTCATTATATTTATAAAAAAGTTCATTATAAAAAAAATTCATTACAAAAAGAGTTATCTATATATATTGTGCCTCAGATTGATTCTATCTGGCAGTCCAAACTGAAAATTAAGATTGGTCTAGTCTGGATTGATACTTTAACTCAGACTGAAATATTTAGTTTGGTTCAGTTTGATCCAGAATTATAAATCTAACTTGGGCTGAATTAAACAGGTTAAAACTAGACTGAACTGAAAATTTACCAAAAATTTATCTGTATTCTAATTCTATAATTCTGACTTGATAATAATCTTTCTGATATGTATAGTTTTATTTTAAGCCTATATTTATTTTGTGTAATATTAATTCATAAAGAGTTAAAGACGCATAATTTTCTTATATAGTATATATATTATACAAAGCAAATATAAACTTAAATTGAAGCTATACATGTCAGGTAGATTGCTATAGAGCCAAAATTATGAAATTAGAATACAGTTATAATTTTGGTAAAAATTTTAATTTTGATCATGTGATATTATAATAGCCAATTAAAATTTCAAATTTTTTATTATAGGACTGAACCAGACTAAATTAAATATAAACTGGTCTGATTCAGTCCTGAATTATCTTTTTAACATAATTCAGATCGGGCTGAAATGAAGCAATTTTTTTTAGTCTGGTACTAGGTTACTCCTTAACCTGGACAAATGTGAACCATTTAGAGCTTTATTCTTGCCTTAGCTGATAGTTAATGCTATACTTTTCGTCAAAATGACAAAATACTAATTAAATTTATTTTGACAAATGTTATGTATTTTAACAGACGTAATTAATTTATAGTAATTTTATAATAACATATGTGCCGATTTTTGGAATTAGTCTAAATTAAGATTTTTATAAAAATTTAATATTTTAGTAAGATTAACATTACACAAATCTAAATTAAATATGTGTTACATATTTACGTGACTCAGATTTAATAAAAAATAAAAAAAATTTTTTTAATCAATATTCAAAAATAACGGTAATAACCACTTCTTTTTCCCCATCACTCCCATAACTTTTCCATCATTTTTCTATTCACTTTTATTAAATATGACAAAAAAGTTTATAAGCAAATATAGCAGTTATTTTTAAGTGGTAAGTAAAAGAAAAAACTTAATATTTTATATACATAGATAAGACATAGTTTTTCATAATTTTTAACTTTAATTTATTGTTTTTTCTTTGTAAAAAATACATGCAAATAAAAAATAATTATGATGTAAAATAGTTGTAAAATGAATAATAAGATATTCTTTTTTTTTTCAAAATAACTAATTATATATTTGTTTTTTATCTTTTAAAATTATTTTATTAGATTTATTCTACTAAAATCCTTAAATGGCAAATAAAATCTTTTAAATAAAGTAAAAGAATTTGGGATTTTCTTATGAAAGCATTTTTTGGTAAGAAATAAAATTTTCAGATCAGACTTTATACAGGTGACAAAATCGTGCATTATTATTCCTGGAGATATGCTAACATCATCATTTTATATTTATTTGAAAGTTGAGAATTTGCTCTATCGTAAGAGTCAACGATCAGGAAAATTGGATCACTGGATGAGGTGTAATTAACGATCAAAGTCAAATCAAATTTAAAAATTTAAAATAAATATATTAGACGTAATTATTCACAATCCAGTGATTCAATTCATTCGATTTTAGGCTTATTAGATAGACCTCAATTTTCTCTTTCAAATGAATATAATTTCATTCGTGTAGCTTGCATCTACAGGTATTTAATAAATTTTTTTATATCAGATTTTATCAAACTTATAAAATTTTATATTAATAATATAATTGATGATTCCTAAACATCTACATATATTAAACGAATTATTTTAAATTTATTTTAAAGATAAAAGTTGGCATCACCTTAGGGAGCAAAGATCATTCAAATTGAATCACTACATGTGAAGTAATTAATGATCAAATTTAGATAAAATTCAATAAATATACTGAACGTGATTACTGAACAACTAGTGATTCAATTCACTTGATTTTAGATTCATTAGATAGATCTCGATTTTCTCTTTCAAATGAATGTAAATTTATTTGTATAGCTTATTTCTACGAAGAATTATCAATGATTTTGTCATGAGAGTTATATTTGATCTTTTAAATTTTAATGATATCTTATATTAAAAAAAAATTAAAAATTATATAATTAATTAGTTTTTTTTGCATTATCTGGTATAAATTTATTATTCTTATATAAATGATAATTTATATTTGCTTTAATAAAATTATTTTTGTGTAAAAAATTAGATTCCAAGGATCAGCCCATATGAATAGTGAATTAGTCTGTTCACCGAAATATGACATAATTAATTAGCGAAGAAGTATAGTTAACACATCTCAAATTAAAATTGTTACCTGGCACATCTCACTTTACAATAAAAAATTGATTATAATTAAACATTAAATTTTCTAATCTAATGTACATTTAATTATTAATAAAACTTATTTGCTGTATTTTCAAATATTCAATCCAAAAATTTTAGATCAATTGGATTCATGCTTACTTTTGAAATCTTCATTTAAAAATATATTTATAATGCAAATTTTTTCAAATAAATATTTACATTGTATATTTAATAGGAATTAAAATTGTGGTTTATTTATAGTAGACTAAATTTATACAATTCAAATGAGATGTGTCAGGTGACGATTTTATTAATTTAAGATATGTCAGCTGTCAGCTGAGGCAAAAATCGATCTGAGGTACAACATATATATGGATTTATGTACTATACTTTGTTAAACGTTATATTATATTTAATTAGTAAAATTCAGTATAACAAAAAATTTTTTATATATAAATTTCTGTACCATATTGAAGGTTTGTTTTATTGTGAAATTCATTATATCAAAATTCACTATAAGAAAAGTTAACTGTACACCTACGTTAAATAAATTTATTATCATTATAAAATAATAAAAATTAATAGGTGATATCATCTAGGCGATTTCACCCCAAGTGAAAATTAGTTATAATCAATAAACTATATTAAATAAACTATCTAAAATAAATTGTATATATAAATAAATAAAGAAAATAGACTATATATAAAAAAAATTCCCATGTCTAAAATTCCCATAACACTGTATTTGCAAAAAAAAAAATATAAATCCCATAAAAGAGTTTCTGATAATATACTTAATCAAATTACTTTAAATAATAATAATAAATAAGTATTAGTTATTTACTAATCTAGTAGTATATAAATAGATTATCATCTGAAGGATGATGACCCATTTATATACTAAACTAGATCAGTAAATAACTTTTTTATCATCCTGGATATACTAATTGGTCTGCCAGTTTATAACTGGTGGAAAAAATCCTAAATACCAATTAGTAGCCAGGTGTTAATAAATTATATATAAATAATTCTAATTGATATTAAGTATTGCATTAGCCAACCAAATTTATTTTAAGTCATGTGATTTTGTATTATGTTAGCAAAAAAAAAGTTTTAAAATTCTAGCTATTAGATTACAAGATATAAGGGTACCTATTATAGAGGTACCACACTGTTGCATAGATTTTTATATTATGCTATTATTTAGACAAACAGTATTCCTGAAGTGGAACATCTGTCAGTAGTACGGATACGGGCAAAAAAAAGGTACTGTACTGTATATTAAATTTTGTCAGTAATCAGACTTGAAAATTGCGAAATTTAATGTAATTGTCTAATTGACCTTTCCCAGTTTATTTCGAAATAATTTTTTAATTTCGGACCAATTTCAGCTTTGTGGCATAACTCCACAGTGTGTAAACGTAATCATCAGAAGATTTCATTGGATTTCAGAGAGTGTAGAGAATTTCTTAAATAATTTCGACTTTATTGGCAACAATTTCAGCCAGGTTTGTGTATATTTCGGACATATAAAGTTAATTAATGGGACGATGGTAAATAAGCTTAGCTGAAATTGTTGCTAATAAGAACAAAATTATCTCTATTTTCTCTGGGTTCTGGCAAAAATTTCTGCCAAGTTTCAGCTGGCTACTCTCGTACACTTTGGAGTTATGCCACAAAGCCGAAATTGGTCCGAAATTAAACAATTATTTCGGCAGCATGTATATCACATCCGTTCATCCTGGGTAAACGTTTGGCTGTAGAAGAACGTCAATTCTTAATTAAAGATTACTAAATTTGTAATAGTCCGCGATGGCTGAGTTGTAATATAGTGGGCAACAATAATAGTGTAACATAATCAAATAATTGAGAATTTTGGCCGGAATTTTCTAAACTTCTATGATAAACGACAAATAAACTTATATGATTAGTTCCGCGTTAATACGTTTAATAAGCTAATAAAACGTCATGCAAACATAACAATAAGAGTAGATCAAGTACATAGATATTTTACTTTTAGATATTTCCGCCACTTGTCTAAAATATATAATATGGGTTAAAAGTGTTTGCGTTTTCTTTATTACTTTTTCTTAGCATATATACAGTTATTACAGTTATGACAGTTATACATAGTCGAAAGACGTTTTTTGTATTATTATGTTTATTATTTTTTTTTAATGGTATCGGTTTAATATGGAAAAGGCGTATAACTGAAAAGAATAGCGGTTGGATTTCTGAGTTTAGTATCAAGAACAACATTCAAACCGCGGAGAGCCTTTCAAATTGGAAAGGAAGTGTATTGGAAACAAAAACAAATACGTTTGTTATCGAAGGGAATAATAGTTTTATTGACTTTAATAATGAGGTGAGGTTAACAAGATATTTTAATTAAATGTTCGCTAAACTATATAATAATTAATTAATATATGAATCGAATTTTATTCTGAATTTTTATTTTTTATTTAATAATCGAAACATTTGCTGATCCAAAATTAATTATTAAGCCTGATCAAAAAATTTTTCACTTTTATTAGTGTGCCGAAATATATGACCACGAAAATAAATGCGAATTTGTTCGACAATATTGTCGGGATTATTCTTCTGGTTTAATCAACTATTTACAGTTCTATTTTTGTTCGAAAAAATGGCGATTTTTGATTATGATACTACTGGTATATTTTACTTCAATAAAGTTGTGATTATTAGTTTATGATTGGAGGTCTTTATCAAAAAAAAATTTTTACTTCAGTTTTTATGGCTGTTATTCTTGTTCGGCTTTACTGGCATTGCCGCATCCGAATTCTTTTGTCCTAATTTAAATACGATTGCATCAAAATTGAGATTATCCGAAAGTATGGTAAATAATTTACATATCTTCATTATTGACTAATTTAAATGATTTATTTATAAAACATCTTGTCAACGACCGTAAAGGCCGGCATGACTTTTTTAGCTTTTGGAAATGGATCACCTGACCTGTTTAGTACCTTTAGTGCTATATCACACGAATCTGGATCGCTAGCTATAGGAGAGCTTATTGGTGCAGCTAGTTTTATAACTTCAGTTGTTGCTGGATCTGTGGCCATTGTGTCACCATTTCGCATTAAAAAAGCACCTTTTCTTCGCGATGTCATTTTTTTCTTATTAGCAATCTGTGTTGTTCTTGCCATAATCTGGGATGGAAAAATTTTTCTATGGGAGAGTATCATCTTAGTGTTATTCTACTTTATCTATGTATGTACAGTTGCCATAGGATCTTGGTGGGCAAAGAATCAAAAAAGGCGTAAATGGCAAGAACGAAGAGCAAGGGATGAATATACACCAGCACTATTAATCAATGATGATACAGAAAACGTTCGCGAACATAATGAAGATGAAATTGGTAATTTTATTGAACTCACCTGCTTTCTTTTCTTATTTTCACGTATTAATCTGATAAAAATTTTAGATACATATAATGAAACCGATTTTTTGATATCTGAAAATGAAAGCTATGGGAGTCGTGATGTTTCAGTACCTTTAGGAGCAGAATCATATAATCTACCCCCTTATCGTCATCCATCTTTTACAAGGTCTGCTCGACCAATCTACCATAGAATGAGACCTTCATTATTTGGGGCGATTGAGGTAAAATTAAGAAATAAATTATCTAATGAGTTTGTAATAAAATTATTTACTTTAACCTATAGTTTTACAGTTTAGGGATGTTATCAATTCTCTTAAATCAGATAGTAATGCGAGGGCTTTAGGTGTATTTGGACGAAACTATACAACAGATTTTTATAATACACGTTCAGGCAGGCCGCGAAGTAGAACAATGCCAATGGATAGACCATTACTTAGTAGATCTTGGGCTAGTGATAACGGCGGAATTATGTCAATACCTATAATAAATTTTGATAATCCTAATGGTGATTCCAATGTGGATATGATCGATCAAGAGGTTACAAGTGAAAGAAACGCTGAGTCATTATCAAATGATCCAATTTCAACTCCTGTATCAAAACAAGAACTCAGTCGGTCGGACGCGTTAAGTATACCACATCTTATGTTGATACCTCCAACCTCGGATCAAGAAGCCACTTCGCCTGATAGGATATCGTCATCATCATCATTGTTGTCGCCTCGTTCTCCTGTGCTTCCACCACTAAATTTGAGTGATTTAAATTACATATTAGATGGTTCATTGCACTCATCTCCCAGAAATTCCCCATTACAAACTCCTTTGCATTCGCCTGATTTTCCTCCTGTCATGTCCTTTTGGGATAAAGTCCGCGTACTTTTATTCCCGTGTTTAGAAGGATTCTCTCAAAAATCATTTATTGCAAAACTTATTGCATTATTAGCAACACCAGGATTTTTACTATTAATACTCACCTTGCCTGTTGTAGAATCGGAAGAAACTGATTCTGACGATATTGAAAACAAAAATTATGGTACATCTGAAAATCAATTACAAACTCCCACTATTGTTGTAGAAAATGACCTTGCTATAACGAATTATGAAGAGAGAAAAGGAACTAGATGGAATCGATGGTTGACTGCCGCTCAACTTGTATTTGCACCTTTATTTGTCTCGTTTGTTTTATTCCGTAAGTATTATTATTACTTCTAAAAAAAATTGGTTTGTTAATAACATGGAATGTTAACTATAATTATTATAATTAAAATTATTGTTTAGCTGGAGATTATAAGATTTTATTATTTTTTGTCCTTGGGGGTTCCATAGCATCTATAATGTGTATTTTATTTACACGTGACGATAAACCACCAAGATTTCATTCATTATTATGCTATATTGGATTTGGTATCGCTATAGTCTGGATTTACCTTGTAGCAAACGAGGTTGTAGGTTTGCTTCAGGTGTGTGAATATTTTTATTGATCAACGTTTTAAATATAAGTGTTCTTACATATTTTATTATAGGCAATTGGATTGATTATGGGATTAAGCGATGCAATAATTGGATTGACTATTTTTGCAATGGTGTGTATTTTATCATTATTTTATATATGTACTTTTAAATCACTAATTATACTATTCATGATCTTAAAGGGTAATAGTCTTGGTGATTTTGTTGCCAATATTACTATCGCTAAAATGGGATTTCCAACGATGGCGGTGAGCGCATGTTTTGGTGGGCCTATGTTAAGTAAGTTCATACATTTTTATTTATTTATTTTGTATCGTTTCATCCGTAACTAAATAATCTTAATTTATTCAGATATTCTTCTTGGAATTGGTATTGCAGGAACATATACAACAATACATCTTGGACATGCTATTGATATAACGATAGAACCTACGTTATTTATTTCATCGATGGGATTATTAATAACATTATTTTCTTTCCTAATCTTTTTACCACGAAATGACTTTCATATGACTCGCGGATGGGGATGTTATATAATATCTGTATATTTAATTTGTATGATTATTAATGTAATATTAGAATTAATAAAAATATACCATTAAATAATAGTTTGTAATTTTTAAAAAACACAGAAATGATTTTTACACGTGTTTCGTTTACTCGTCGTTATCAATTGATTAATGGATTATGTTATGTGAGACATATAGTAAGATGATTTCTCTATCCACCCTAGCATCGCCTCATTTTGCCGGGAACGACAATTAGAGTTTTTTTTATAAAAATTTTCTAAATCCACAGAATAATTATACTACGTGACAAATTACTAGCCCCAATATCCTAATCCTAATCCCCTTACCCTAAACCTAACTCTAATCCTAACCCTAATTCTAAGAACCGGCAAATGACGATATACTAATCCAGGCTAAAGTTATAGTGCCGGCCAGGATTATCGTTAATTTTTTCGAAAAATTTATGTCAAACGAAATTATTATTCTGGCCGGCACTACAAATTTGGTCTAAATTGTCCAGAAGTTCGGTATATTATATAACGAATTCACTATATACCGGACTAAACCTCCTGTTCATTATATCCGGTGGCAACTGTAATATCAAAATTATAGAACTCCTATTTCATATATAGCCGAACGATTGTTTTAAGAATCTCATTACGATGATAATATAACTATCAATGTGTATTTACTAAACTATTTATTGGTGCGTTACTTGAAGAAATGAAAAAATTAGATAGTTTAATTAAAGAATCTTTTAGTCTTTACTTTCTCGAATTCAATTATCAAAGGATCACGAGGTTTATTTTATGTTGAATCTTCCATTACTTACAGGTCCAAATGACGCACATGAATATCAAGCTATTTTGTCCGACTGTAGCGTGGCGCAGTAAAAATTATCCATATAAAAAATCAACGTTTTTTTTCTTGTTTAATATCTCTTCAAATCAATTAAAATGAACAATAAGAACCAAAATCCTACTAACTTTGATAAATATCATGAACCAGATATTTCTAATGTTCTTCAAAATTCGCTCGTTTCCCGTGTTTCTGATGAAAATGACGAAAATCAAGATCTTGTGACTACTTTTAATGGTTTGACGGAAAATAATATAGGTAAGCTTTTACTGTTTTATAAAAGTATCGTGATTCGTTAACTTATTGTAATGTATATAGGGAAAAAAGTCTCGATACGTGGTTTAGTAACTCATGCTTCTGGTATAAAACTGTTCACGCTTAAAGTTAGCTTCAGATGTATCGAATGCCAAGAAATTCAAACACTTGAATACAATAATGGGGGAAGATATTATTATCTTCCATTAAGATGTAAATCCGGATGTAAAAGTAAACAGTTTACTCCTATAATACCTACGATGGAATTCGACGAAAAAGAAGAAAATACTACTTTTTCTTATTTGAATAAATTTAGGTATAAATTCACTATTATATTTGAATTCAGAAAATTTAGATTTATGTGTATATATATATTTCATAGAATGCAAGAAGTTTGGAATGAAAGTGAAAATGAATATAATGAAGATAATTTCCCCAAGATTATTGACTGCGAAGTACGTAATGACTTGGTGGATAAAGTTAAAGCAGGCGACTTTGTAGTTGTTAAAGGAAAACTTCAAGTTCATGAAATTTCTGGTGAATCAACTTTTCTTTTTTCCCCCTATATAATTCAATTCTAGTCATTCTAGTCACTAAAATTAAAAGTTCCGTTTAGAAACTAATAATAAGAATAATAAAGACAATTCAATGATGCATCATCTTTACATAGACATTATGGAGATAAAAAAAGTATCAATATCTAATATCTATGCTGAAAGTGACAAAACGGAAGAAACTATCTTTTCGTTAAGAGATTTATATAACATTAAACAAGCCACAATTACAACTCATGACCTTTTCAAAGTTGGTTTTTTTTTAAGGAAAAATCTTATTATCTTTCCTTACAAATAACATTAATTTAATTTATTCGACATAAAATAGCGCATTGTAAATTCGTTTTGTCCTTCAGTTTATGGACACGAAATCGTTAAAGGTATGGTATTTGGCATTATTTCAAAATTGAATTACATTGGCAAATGCGAGGTTATATTTAAGTTCTTTGTAATCAGCTGGAATATTACTTTCAATATTTGGGAAAGATGATAATGGTGCAATCCATATTCTTATAGTCGGTTAGTTTGCTGTTTAATAAGCGCCTTGTATTTTATAATTTTTTTTTAACTTAATATTCTTTAAAGGTGATCCTGGGACAGATAAAATAAATTTGCTTTTAGCAGCTAATTCCATATCGCCAAACACGGTATTTACGCCAATCAATCAAGGCGATAATCCTTCAATTTTACCTACTTTGAAATATGATAGATATTTTAACGAATGGATCCTCGAAGCTGGTATAGTTATAAGTTCATACATTTAAATTGATAGTAGATTAAAATACTTTATTTAGGTTCATTGGCATTGAGCAATAAAGGAATCTGTCGAATTGACGACTTTGAAAAAATTGGCAAATTCGATGCTTTAGCTGAAGCTATAACTAGGAAATCATATCCGTAAGTCAATTTTTTTTTTAAAAAAAAAAAAAATTTCGCTAAATCATTCAATTGCATACAGCGTTAGCAAATATGGAGTTAAATGTACGCTCAAAACTCAAACAAATATTATGTAAGCATAGATTAAACAAAATTTTATTAGTATTTCGTTTTTTTAACTGTATTTTCCGGTATAGAGCCTCTGCTAATCCGATCGATGGACACTATAAGTATACTTTGAAATTTTTTTCTCAAGAAAAAAAAAAAAAAAAAGATAATAAACTTTAGTATTTAATATTACTTAGCAAAAGCAAAACACTGTCAGAGAATTTGAATGTGAATAATGCTCTGTTATCAAATTTTGATCTCGTTTTCTTATTGCTGGATATTCCGGATGAAGAGATGGATAGTTATCTTTCAGAACGCGTTATGACAGTTTGTAGTGTTTTTTTTTTAACTTATTTTATTTAAAAAAAAAAAAATTAAAAAAATTGAGTAAGATTGTGATGCTTTTAAACAAATAATTTAGGTACATTCTGGATTGTGTCCCGAAGACGGATCACAAAGATATGGTATATTAATTAGTGCAAGATGATTTGTAGTTTCATCCCAAAATTAATTTATTTTTAGTACCTGCAATAAATAGAAACCATACGACAGATGTTCCATTATCTGAACGTTTAAGGCGCGATTTAGATGACGAAAATATGGAAAATCTTCCTAAAGAATTTATTCAAAAATATATTGCTTATGCACACAAATATGTTCATCCACGGTATATAATAATAATATAATTCTGAAAAAAAGCGAATTTTAAATTGTTCATTTTTAATCGTTTCATTATAGGTTATCAGAGGAGGCTCGCAGGATGATAAAACTTTTTTACGTTAATATGGGTCGTAAATATCTTTCTATGGATGAAACAAATATTACGATTCGTCAACTAGAAACGATGATTAAATTGGCGCAAGCTCGAGCAAGAATGGAATTGCGGGATATAGTAACGTGTTCTGATGTTGAAGAAGTTGCCGAAATTATGTAAATGAAATATCATTTTTTCTAGTCTTTGGTTTTATTAATAAAATAATTTTCCTCTAGTCTTTGATTTATTAATGAATTTTCGTTTTCTAGTGAATTCTGTTTATTCAGAATTCAAAGAGATGAACTTGGAAATTCTCGTTCTCAGTCGAGAAAAGGTGGGAGATCAGGAAAGCAGATTGAAGCAAGGAGGTGAAAAATATTGACAGATTTTATTAAATAATAATCTCACTTGAACTATCGCTAATATATTTGTTAATATCACTTTTATCAATAGATTCTTAGGAGAATTACAAAAACGTGGAAATGCTAAAGAAAGCGATATATTTACTATGCAGGAAATGCAACAAATCGCGACAGGTAGCAAATTTGAACAATGAAACTTCTTTCAGCACAATGTTATATGAATTAAATTATTTATCATTCCTATTTATAGATTATAAAATTCAATTTGATAATTTTCAAGGCTTTATCGATTTTCTTAATGAGCAGAGCTTGTTGCTTAAAAAGGGACCGGGAACATTTCAATTAAGGTCATAAGATTATTATAATTCCATAGGAGAGAAATTAATCGTTTTCGGACTTTTCGGTAGTGAATGCATGCAGTTTTATCGTTTAATTGGTACATCAATTAATGAGAAAATCATTTATTATAAGAATAAATTTTCCATTTAAAGACCACGCAGCAATCATTGAATTCAAAAAAAAAGTCGTCATTTTCTTTCTTCGAATCTACCAATCCCCCTCGTGCTAGTCGTGAGGAGCTTTATAAAGTTGTTAGAATCATAATAATATTTCTTTGAAAGAAATTATCAAAAAATGGCGACTTTTTTATCACCAACTATCACTATTAGAATTTCTCAGAATGTCTCAAGACATTTCATTTCTATTCGAGAAGCAATTTTCCTCACTAAAAATCATAATCTCGGTTCAATGCTACCGTTATATTCAACACCAAATCCGAAATCCTATTTACATACATTATCTTCAAAACGTGCAAACTTGAATTTTATAAACGAAAATTCGTACATTAGCATAGAAAATTTTCGAAGAATATCAATTTCAAGTCTTCGTGCATTTCCTCCAAATGCAGAAGTACCGAAATTTCAACCAAATATTGGTACTGTTAGATATTTGCCTCCGCCATCAGACTCTTTGGGCGGTTAGTATAGTTTGTATTTATTGGTATAAATAAGTATATTATATGTTAATTCTTGGTCTCTTTTAGGATCACAAATATCTCCTGAGGCCGAGGAAACAGAGGTTCAAAGGTATAAACTAATGATTTTTTTTTTTTGTTTTGTTTGTGAATTCAATACGAATGCTACAAATTTATTGTGCAATTATTTAGAGTTAATGATAGAATTAATGAAATTAAGAATGCAAAATTAATATTCAACCAATCTTGGAAGAATATCGAGGACGAATATGGACGTGATAAACTCTGGTAAATATGATGTTGTTTGATTATGTCAATTTATTTTAACTATCAAATTCATATCATATTTTCAATTCAAACTCAGGCTACCGAGGGAGATTATATGGCTGATGGGAGCGCCAGCATCAGGAAAGGTGAGAACCTAATCATAGTTCTTATTCTTTTTTTTTTTAGTTCATTATACTATGATGATTTTTTTAATTATATTCGTAGGGAACACACACTAAATCATTATTAAAAGCACGTGGCATTGACAATCCGGCTATCAGTATGTCAAAACTTTTAACATCCCCTGAATGTCAAGAGTTGATTAATAAAGGGCAAATGATCAGTAAGTAAATAAGTTTTAATTTTATACAAGATCTTTATTTGTTTTTTTTTTCTTATTTCTCTGTCCATCGTATGTTCGTATGTTAGGTGATGGAAAAGTTCTCGAAAGTCTATTTCGAGCACTTCTTAACTGTGATCCAACAATTGGTTGTCTTGTTGATGGATTTCCGCGAACAGAAATTCAAGTTGAATGTTTGAAATTGTTGTATGATAAAATGCACGAATTACGGCGAGAATTTTGGGACACGCCTCAGAGAGATAAATTCCCGTAAGTTGATATTAAGATATTTAGTTTTCTTGTTTTTTTTCTTCTTTTTTATTTTTTTTTTAAAAAAAAAGAAGTATATATATTTTAGACGACCTACATTCCGGATTTGCGTCTTATATGTAGATGAGGAAGTATCAGTGGAACGCCAATTAATGCGCGGAAAACAAATCCGAGAACACAATGCCAGGGTTCGACAAACTGGCCAAGATGAACTTATTGAAGAAAGAGTTACTGACTATGATGAAATGGTATATGTGTTCTTTTTATTTCATTGAATTAAAATTTCTTTTCTGACTATATTAATTTAAAATTATTGTAGCTAATCAGAGCTCGTTATAGAATATTTAAAGAGCATTTTGGTGCTTTGATGAAACTTGCAAAGATCTTTCCTTTTCGTAAGTCCAACATCTTATTTGAAATAGCTTAGTAAATATTGCTTAGTAAATATAACGGAATAATACTTTTAATTCGTTAATTTATTTTAGATTTGATTAATGCTGTTGGAACAATTGAGGAAGTAATGTTTTTGATTCTTAAAGAGTTTGAGTATCAAAGTTCGCTTGAACTTGGTATGGTTAAATTTTTAAATAATAGCATTTTTTTTATATGAATTCAAAGAGCTTGATGGTTTTTTTTATTTTGTTAAATAGATCATGACACATATGATGCGATTGCACACATACCTTTAGCTACAAAGATTAGTATACATGCAAGACAAGATTTGATCAGTCGACTTGAACATTATCAAGATACTGAGCCAGAATTATTTTTAAAAGCTATACAATTCGTGAACAGCCAAGTTATCCCTATGGTTCAAAGGCATGCAATTAGTGGACACGCACTTGTTCGAACGTACTTACGATAAACTTATTTTTGTTATGAGAGTTTTTTTTTTTTGGTAAATTATGTAAATATCATTATTTTTTTTTTAGGGCATCACAAGAATTAGGGAATCAACATCTTGTAGATATGATTATGGATGTTTTATCAGAACGAGGATATCATGTTATGTTTGATGTCCGAGTTCAAGAAATTCCTGCTAGAATTAATCCTGAAACATGGGAAATCATTTTGGAAAAGTAAATTATCTTTTCTTTTTGCTCAATTAAATAATATATGTAAAAACTAATTTTATTTTTTTTTTAGGCGACACGATTATATGTTTAGTTTACGCTTTCCTAAACATATTATCCAACCACTTGAGCAGAAATTTTAAATGTATTATTATATTAATCTTTATAGTAAAATTTGGGACTTATTAATATGTAGAGTATGTAGAGCATGTAACCAATATTTATTGAAGTTAGAAATTCATAGAGAGCATTATGATATATTACGAATAGTATATCATAAGCTTCATAAAAATTCAAAATACTACAATGTAAATCCATAAAATAAATAAAATAAACAATATGAATTTGTTACTTATTTAGTAATAGTTTCTTCTTAATCACCCAACATTATTTGCATAAAAAGGGTGTTCAGTCTTAATCCTATCTCTTAATGATCTCCTCAAAATTTTACCAGAAGTACTTTTAGGAATTTGATCAATAAATAAAACACCGCCACGTAATCTTTTATAATTTGCAACTTTTTGAGCAATAAAATCTTCAATTTCCTTCTTTAACTGATCAGATTGAGGGACATTTGGTTGTAATTTGACATAAGCAGTCGGATATTCGGTCGCATGTTCTTCAGAATAAACACCAATTACAGCAGCATCAGCGATTGATGTATGAGTAAGTAAGATTGATTCTAATTCGGCAGGTGGAACTTGGAAACCCTATGAGAATGATAGTACGAATGAAAAAAATAAATTGTTGTAAGAAATGTAAAGTATACGCCAGTGCACATCCCATATTAAAGGTATAGGATTAGGAATAAATTTAACAAATTAAAAATATTTTAATATACTTTGTATTTAATTAATTCTTTGGCACGATCTATAAGGTAAAAATTTCCTATTATAGAATAAGGAAAAGAATTAGAAATTATTCAAGAAACATAAAGTATACACTATTAAGAAAATTAATTATTGCTCACCAAATTTATCAACAGTTACTATATCACCGGTATGTAACCACCCCTCGCCATCAATACACGCATCAGTAGCTTCTTTGTTATTAAGGTAACCTTTCATGATATTTGGACCACGAACACAAAGTTCTCCAGGTTGATCAACTCCAAGTTCTTTTCCGTCTTCAGAAAGAATCTTGCTTTCCAAATTTGAAATTAGTTTTCCAACAGAACCAGGAACGATATTATCAATTTTAGCGAGATGAGTTGCAGGAGAAGCTTCAGTCAAACCATATCCTTGTATAATAGGTACATTATATATTTTGGTGAATTCATCGGATAATTCTTTACTTAAAGGAGCGGCGGCACATAAACATACTAGTAAACTTGACAAATCATAATTTTTAACAATTGGATCCTTAACTAATGATAATATTATTGGAGGTACAACCGTGATTCTATTAACACTATAATCTTGAATAATTCTACAAAATGTTGACAATTCATATTTTGGAATTACAATAACTGATGCTCCTTTAATAATTGGGAAATGAATGATACAACTTAATCCATAAATATGAAAGAAAGGTAATAAACCAAGATAAATAGCATCAGAATTAACATCATCTTCGTGAGCGTAAATTTGAGACAAATTAGCTACAATATTATAATGAGTTGTTTCAACCCCTTTACTCTTCCCTGTTGTACCAGAACTATAGCATAAATATGCCGTTGTTGATTTTGCCTCTTCTTGTGAATATTCAATTGGATTTGCTTCCTTTTCAGAAATAAGTGAAGAATAAGGTTTAATTCCATTAATTTCTGCATCACCAAATAAAAATATGTTTGATTCATGAATATTTGCTGCAGCTGCCGCTTTAATCACGTTTGAGAGAAGTAATGGAAATGCAATAATATATTTTGCACCCGAATCTTTTAATTGGTAGGTAAGCTCATCAACTGTATACATAGGGTTAACAAAAGTCACAATTCCACCTGCTACAATTGTTCCGAATGAAACAATCGCGTAATCGACCTAATAATAATGAATAAAGAGAACATTTTATTATAATATAAAATAAACAACATATATATTGTCGACATACCTGATTTGGAGAAATAATTGCTAATACATCGCCACGTTTAAATCCTGCTTTATCAATTAATCCTGCTGCCAATTTCTTTGAGTTACTTTTAAGTTCACCATAAGTTAATTTTTTGTCAGTTATACCGTCGGTGAATATTACTTTATCATCGCTAATTCCATTCGGATTACTTGTAACATATTGATAAATTCCCATTGCAGGAATTTCAATATCCGGTAATAAAGATTTGAAAATCATGATGAATAAGTAAAATAAAATATTTTTGTTTGAAAAAAGAAGAGAGAAATTTCATGTTTATTTATATTTCGATTTATTTGATATTGTACGACCGTGCAACATTCACGGTAATTTATTTATAAGTAAAACAATAACCAAAAGTAAATCATTAAATCTGCCTTAAAAGTGACACTTAATCAAAAAAAAAAAAAATAAATGGTAAACAAATAAAAATATGAAAATAAAAACAACTTATATATGATAAAAATACATGAAAAGATTAATAAATTATTTAAATCTTCTTTCAAAAATGATTCCACTAGTACTTGGAAATGTTATGGGACCTAATCTCAATTTGTTTTCAATTTTACCACTTTCTGTACGGAAATTATATTTTAATATAGCGTTATGCATAAAAAATTTAATTTCATTTACGGCAAAAAACCTTCCGGGGCAACTAAGAATAATTTATAATAAATTATCAGTTTAGATTATTTTATAATTTATTTATAAATAATAATTATAATAAGAATATTAAAATACTTACGCGTGTTTACCACCTCCGAATACTATGAAATTTTTACTAACTTTTGATGCTGAAGAGTTTTTATTTAAATGTCTAAATGGTTCAAATAAATTTGGGTTTGGGCCTTGTGATGATTCATCTTGATAAACATCATTAAAATAAATATCAACTACATGATCTTTTTGTACTTGCAATCCATTAGAAAATGTATAATCTTTTAATACAAGATGTGGAAGGGCTGCTATATCCCCAGTTAATCTGAATGATTCTCTAATAAAACTATCCAATTTTTTCATTTCATTAAGAGCTTCAAATGGAAGTATATCATTTTCATTTGCTTTTTTATGAATTTCTAGTTGTTCTTCATATAATTCCTGCATATATTCAGGTCTAGATGCCAAATCCATAACAGCATTTGCGCAACTTCTTGATGTTGTATGGACTGATGCGAAAATAAATATACATAATTTATCTGCCATTGCTGCATAATTAATATTATTAGGATCAAAATCTTGTTCTTCCATAAAATCTTGAAGTAAATCATTAGGACGTTTCCACGAATCACCATATTCTTGTTTCTCCCGTAAACGTTTATCAACTTGATTTTTAATATGTTTAACGAGTATATCACGATGTTTTGTAGCTGGATTATATAATCCTAATTTTATTGGAATACGATTGACATAATCTTGAAGTCCTGGAAAAATGAAATCCAAAATTGGTGGAATTGCAAAAAATATTGCTACATCAGTTGTAAATTCTGCGAATGTAGTTATAATTTCATCATATTTAGCTTCTTCCTAAAAAAATTAAAAAAAAAAGAGAATTTATATATATATATTCTTTTTCTTCCTAAGAAGAAACCAAATATTACTTACTTCACCAATAAAAATATTTGCAATAGGAGTAGAAATAATTTTTGCCATTAAATAACTAAAATTATAAATTGTTCGATCGTCATCACAATCACCAATATATTTTTTAGTAGCCGAATAAAGGCTTTTTTGCATACGTTCAGTATATAAACCCAATTTATTTGAAATATACTCTCGGACTACTTTTGCATTATATTTTGGATCACCAAATCCATTTATATTTTTAAACATCGCATCACCTGGTACTCTTCTTCTAAATTCTTCGGAGAAGTCAAAGGCATCATCTCTTGCGAATACTTCATATGAATGGTCTTTTCCTATAAGTTTAGTACAACATTTATGAGAATTTATATGATTCAGGCCGAATTGCATTGAAATATTCGAACAAAAAAAAATACAGATAACTTTACCAACAAATGTTGTTACTTGACCCCATAAATATAGGCTGAAAATATCACCATACTGAATATAATAAAGTTATATTTAATAAATAACTAATTAATTGAATTTGATACATTATTCTACTTACCTCTTTTCTACATTGTTTAAAGAATTCCTCGCAATTAAACATATAACTTAAAGTATGTCCAATAATTGGAATTTTATAATGAACAAGTGGTGGCAGTTTCTAATAAAATAAATAAAGAAATTTATTACTTTTTTATATATAGAAAAAAAAAACGGAAAAAATTATAAATATATATTACCAAATTTGGATCACGTGAACGCTTTAAAACATAAAGCGTTATCAATAAAATACTTCCTAAAATAATAGTTTGATACATTTTGAAAAGGGATTGGTTTATCAATATATTATGATGGTTTTTTTGGTTTTTGTTTTTTTTTTAAAAAAAAAATAATAAAATAAAATAAAGAGAAAATATTTTTTTTTTTTTTTTTCAGATGATAAATATGACAACCGTTTTATATGCTTAATTTTTTGTTAATCGCGGAAGCTCCGAGATTATTTCCATGGTATAATTACGTAATTAATATCTTTTTTATAAATTAGACGAGACAGTAATCTTTTTTCCTGTAGATCATGATTTATATCTAAAGATCGAGAAATTTTATAATATTAAAAATTTACTTAAATAAGTTAATAAGCACAATTTATGCATCGGACCATCCGCAATAATTTTTAATTTTGATTATTGCGCTAGAAAAGGACACAAGAAGGATCGATGGGCCTATATTGATTTTCGTAGATATAAAATGATCATGTGATTTCTGTTATATTTTCGGATTATCCGAATTGACGGACTATCCGGATTATACATTAAATTATAAGCCTATTTCGTTATTGTGATCAATATTAATTGCATTTTATAATAACTTATTGGTCAGTCTATTAGGATCATGCTGATTTTGACGGACTGATATTTTTTGTTACAAATTAATCCTTACTTTTCAACGGTATTACATCTTTCAATTTTCACGGGATCCGTTCAAATTCTGGTAATCTGTCCGTAATCACAATTTCATTAGGTTACAAAGCTGATATTTGTTTCATATACGAAATGGTTAAATCTTTATTTTTTGATTTTTTAAAGAAATTACAACTAAGAAAAAGTAATGATTTATACATATACAAAGCCTTTTTTTTTTGAAAAAATTTTTTGCCTTCACATGATTGACGTCGGTACTACCCTATGCCTGGATTCCATATTAAACCATGTGGCTTCTACTCACCTTCTAGTATAATACTGTATGCGGTTGATTGTGAAATTTTTTTTCCAATTATAGTAATGATATGATATTTATATATATGTGAGATGCAAAAATCTAATTATTTATGAAAAAAAATTTTTCGCTTTTTTTTTCTCGTCAGGTATGTAATTAAATATATTTATAGTATTCTTCATTAGCCTAAGATGTAAAAAATTTTATCGTTCTGAATATTTATATGAATAATGATAATTTATTTAAAGTAACAGTCTCTGAGGCTGATAATTCACTGAATATAAAAAAAAAATATTTTTTTTTCAACTACTCAAATTCTAATCATTCTTTCATTTATTTCATTTTAACCGAATTCTTCATTACGACACGGATTTCACGATAATCTTAAATAGGTATATTTTATAGAATCTTGGACGTTATATAAGATAAAAGAAATGAGTAACTATACCATACTTATCAAGAAACATAATTATTATGATGTATCAAGATATTCAGAATCAAGTATGTAATAATAATAATATTATTATAATTAATTTTAAGATTAAAATTTGAAATCTTAATTATTGTTTTTATAATTAGGTGATAATGAGCTTGATAGTACTTCGGATATCTCACTTTCTGATCATGAGTTACAATTAAAAGAAATCGTAATATCTTCTGATTTTAATAATAATCACTATGATGATGAAGAATTTGATAGTGAAGATTATAGTGAGGATTATGATCATTCTAACGATGATCGTTACGATTATAATGATCATAATAAATCCTCATTTAAGATGCTTTCATTTGTTTGCAACGTAAAAGGATGTTTGAAAAAATATACGTTAAAAAGTAGTTTGAAACGTCATATTCAACATCATCACATAGAAAAAAATCCTTTTATTTGTGTCGAACCTCAATGCTTTAATATGAAATTTTCAACTCTTGATTTATTGAAAAGACATCAACAAAAAGTTCATGAGAATCAAATCTTACATAAACGCTCATATATTAGAGAAAATATAGAATTAGATAAAATTTTAGAGAATAATGAAATTAAAATTTATGAAAGAAAGTACCCTTGTAAAGTGTCTGGATGTAACAGAGTATTTGATAGTAAAAGTGCAGTAGCATCTCACAAACGATTTCATAACACTGAAAAAGAAAAGAAATCTAACAAATGTGATGTTCCCGTCTGTGATAAGATATCTGATAGTTTATATGAATTATGGGATCATGATCTGTTTCACCTTGAAAATAATAGAAAAATTTGTGATGAAACCGAATATTCTCAACCATTTCAAAATTTACAAGAATTAAATGATGATCAACAAATATATACAAATGATAATTTAGGTGAAACTGAATTTAATTGTGATGTGCAAGGTTGTAACTTTAAAATTGGGCAATTTGAAGCTTTGAAACAACATCTAAATGACTATCATAACGTGAAGAATTATTATGTATGTAATAAAGAAGGTTGTAATTTTTGCTGTACAAATGATTCAAACTTTTATAATCATCAACAAATTCATGTTGATAATAATGTTAATAATATAATTCATGATAAAAATGAATTATTCAAATGTGAAAACCCTGGATGTGATAAAGTTTATAAACGTTTATGTCATTTAAGAGCTCATCAAAATCGAAGAAAACATCATTCTCAAGTTGAAGAAAAGAATTATATTTGTGATGAACCTGGATGTGATAATGTTTATAAAAGTTTATATTATCTTAAAAAACATAAGGATCTTAATCACATAAAAATTTTATTACCTTATGTTTATATTGATAATGTAAACTTTGATATTAAACAAGAAAATACTTATTATTGTAATCATTCAGGATGTTCTTATACAACTAATCAAATGGAAGATTTAACAAATCATAAGATGATTCATACTGAAGAAAAGAATTTAGTTTCATGCAATATTATAGATATATCAGAAAATAAGATTCATAATTTACGGAAAATTAATCAGATTAATTATAAAAAAGATCAAGTTTTTATGAATAATACAAAAATCAATAGTCATTTATTAATTAAATCAAAGAAAAAGATCTTTTCATGTAATGATCAAGGATGTAATAAAAGGTTTATTACATTAAAAAACTTGAAAAAGCATAAGGCTAAAGCTCATTCAAAAAGTGCAAATAGTTTGTTTACTTTAAAATCTCAATCAAAAAATTATAATATATGCAAATATATAAAAAAGATTCAAATTCCTACTAGAGTATCATATGATTTTGTAAATAAAAAGCAATTAGATATAAGTAATGATATATCAAAAGGAAATGAATTAGATACTTATAGATTACGAAAACGTCCAAGAATTAATAAAATTAGAATATTGGATGATGATGATAATGATTGTCTTTGTAAATTTACTGGATGCAGAAAAATTTTCAATTCTGTGTATTCTTTAAAAATTCATCAGCAAAAGTTTCATATGATTACTAAAACTTATCCATGTAATAAATCTGAATGTAATTTTAGAACTAAATTTTTTGAAAAATTAAAAAAACATCAATTAGAAAAACATGGATATTAGATTATTACTATTTGTTTTTTTTACTAAATAAATTTTTTTTTTTTTTTACAAAAATTAATAAAAATAAACAAGTATTTTTTTTTTTGTAATAATATTTTTTTTAAATTTTATTTTTATTTTTATATTATTAATACTTATTGTTATAACGCTTTTCAGAACTTTGCTACCTTTTATATAAACTGCTTAATAAAAAAGATTATTAGATTATTAGATTATTACTTAGATTACTAAACACTTATTAGTTATAATCTTTAATAATCTAATAATCTTTTTATTAGATAATTTATACAGGAACATCAATAATGTTGGTCAAAGTAATTTATTAATATTTATTATTAGCACTTATTAAATATAAGGTATGTTGGTAAAATGCATTTAAGTATTTACTTAAAATATTAATAAAATGCTCAAAAAATTAAATGGTTAATAAATATTAAATTTTAATACTTATTTAATATATGGCCAAAGAAATAAAATTATTCGTTTCTCATGAAAAAAAATTGCTAAATTTGACCCGGCCGCCCGGAAAAAAAATTTATTTTCAAAAAAAAATTTAGCCGATTCCTAGAAGATGATTGGTTGATTTAATAAATTTTTTGCCCGGGTTACCGGGTGGAAAAAAAAATTATTTTTTTATGATTATGATTGGTCAAAACCAAAATCACATGACCAAATAAAATAAATTTTTTTATCTTTTCGCAACATTTACATGACCCGCCGGTCATGAGAAACGAATAAATTTATTTACTTGGCCTATTATGCATTTATTACTTAATAAATATAAAATTTTAATGCTTATTAAATATTGTTATTTAATAAATATTAGGTTTCAGTTGGTCTAATATCATGATGATGAAGTAGCAGAATTTTGAAAAGTGTGATAATAATTTAAATTATTTGATTAATTTATACTGATATAATCTAAATATAATTAAATTTTTATTATATAATTATCATAATGTTGGTTAAAGTAATAATTTATTAATATTTATTATTAGTGTTTATTAAGTATAAGGTATGTTAATAAAATGCATTTAAGTATTATTTAAAATACTAAAAAATGCTTAAAAAATTAAATAGTTAATAAATATTTTTTTTTTTTTTTTTTTTTCTGCAGCGCATTTGCAGTTTTATTAAAGTAAAAAAAATAAAGAAAATATATACAAAGTAAAATTCCCTAATATAGTTAATAAATATTAAAATTTAGTACTTATTTAATACATTAAGCATTTATTTTACTTAATAAATATAAAATTTTAATGCTTATTAAATATTACTATTTAGTAAACATAAGGTTTCAGTTGATTCAATGTCATGATGATATCTTTAATAAATTACAATAAAAATAACTAATCAAAAATAACTATCATATATAAAATTTAGAAATTTTGTTTAGAAATATGTTTTTTTTCACACTTGCAATATGTTACATTTCCCCTTTTTAGTAATTTTTATATATTAATATATCAATCATTTTAATTACATAGGATAAGTGTTGGAAAAAGAGACCAAATTGACAAAAATTTTTTTTTAAAATAACAAATATTTTGAATCAGATAATTAGATTTATATTTATTTTACTTATAAACTTTTTTTTTTGAAAAAAATTTCAATTTGGTTTTTTTTTTAGTATTTATTCCACATGACTTTATTAAAATTTTTTATTTTTTAAAAAATTCTAATATAAGACCTTATGCATTTAGTTACTATACAGTATATTATAAAAAACTTTATATTATGTGTATTTTTAATCACTTTATAAATTTTTTTATACTGTATATTAAAAAGGATTTAAAATATTATTTTTGATTTTTATATATAACATATTAAATAATACAAGTGCGATAAAAAATAAACTCCTTTTGTTTATTTTAAAATAGAAAATTAATAATTAAATAAGATTTTAAATATTTCAGTTTTAATAAAAATTACTTTTATTTTTAATAAATAATAAAACTAAAATAATAAAATTATTACTATTAGAGTTTAGATCTGTATATCTGTTATCTGTAATATTCTGTATATCTACATGGATTACAGATTATAGATATCCATTTTATTATTTCAAATAATATCTATAGATAAATAATTTAATATAAATAATCTGTAAATAATTTGTAGATAATCCTTATATTTGCAAATATATGAGTAATAATACTTGTATTCAAATAATCTTATTAAATAATCTTTAAAATTATATATAAATTCATTAATAAAATCAATTATTAATATGTGATATTATTTAAAATACAAATTAAAAAAGTTGAATATATAAAAAATACTTTTTCTTTAAAAACTGTGATTATTATAATATTTTAGTTTAGTTTAAAAGTTTAGATTTTAAAAATAAACTTTAGATATTAAAATATTAATAAAGTAAAAAAATATAAAAAACATTGTTAATTATTTAATTAATTAATATACAAAATTTGATATTTTATTTGAATAATTTATATTATTTATAATTATTATCTGTATAATTTGAATTATCCATTAATAATTTAGATATATGGATTATTCATTTAATTTTTTAAAATTATCTGTATCTGGATTTATTACAGTGTTACAGATTTTTCTTCTATTTTAGTAAAGTCTCATACTTCTCCAACTGCTTTTCAAATCTATGATCCTACTCTTCTGCTTCTTTGACTTTGTTTGCTAACAGTTCTAGAAGTAATTCATCAATTTTCATTTAAATTAAAGTATACTTCTCCGCTAATTAATTACGTCGTATTTCGGTGAACGGACCAATTCACTATTTATTATAAAATTACTATGAATTAATTACGTCTGTTAAAATACATTACGTCTGTCAAAATAAATTTAATTAGTATTTAGTCATTTTGACGAAAAGTATAAATTAAAGCATCAGCATTAGCATTTATTAGCATTAATTCTATTTTAAAATCTATTAATATGTGATATTAAGTCACATAATATTTACTAGCATATTTTTTACAAAGGCGAAGTTTAGAACTATTCTTTTCATATAACTCAAATATTACAATACAATTCTTAACTATCAAAACTATTTGTAAAACTGACTACTCCTTCAACTTGGTAAAATCCTAATACTATTTATAATAAAATAAAAAAATAAGAATATTTAATAAAATAAATAAACTAAATATAATAAATAAATAAAATAAAATAAATATAACAAATAAAATTAATAAAATAAATAAATCAAATTTATCAGATTATCAAATAAATCAAGAAAATCAAGAAAATTGAAAAAATCAAGAGATCTGCAAAATGATCAAATCAATAAAAAAAATAAAATCAAATAAAAAAAAAGACATAAAAATTACTGCACTACATTTCTACTTTAATAATACTGTTAAAATAGAAATGTGGCGCAGTAATTTTATGTAGATCAATTTTGTAGATCATTTCATAAATCCCTTGATTTTTTCGATTTTCTTGATTTTCTTGATTTATTTGATAAATCTGATAAATCTGATAAATTTGATATATTCGATTTATTTATTTTATTTTATTTATTTTATTTATTTATTATATTTGATTTATTTATTTTATCAAATATTCTTGATTTTTACTTATTATAAATAGTGATAGGATTTTACTAAGTAGAAGGGGGAGGTCAGTCAGTTAGTTAAGAATTGTATTGTAGTTTTCGAGTTATATGAAAAGAGTATTATTCCCAGTAGTATAATTCAAGATAGTTAATTTCGCAACCAAGAGATTATCTATATTTTTCGTCGTATCTAAAATCTTACATTATTTTAATAAAAACCTATTTTCTTTAACTGAACATCCAACGTTATTTCACATGATTATTTGTGATCAACTTAAGACTCTCCTATTAAGTTAAACTCCAGTTAACCTGTTAAAGCGTTAAAGTTTTTCAGTCAGCTTTAATTGTTGACAGGATAACAATTTGGTGCGAGTTGGGTGGAATCTAAAGAAAAATAGTAACCGTGAATAAATAAGGAATTCCAGTATTTACAACAGATTTTTCAGCATATAGAAGATCATAACCAAGGAAAACAGGATTTAATTGAAGATTTATCGTGTGCAGATTGCTATCCAGAAGATCAGAATTTAGGATTATTAGAGAATCTCAGATTTAGAGAATTTTGGCAATTCATTATTTCACCCAGGTATCCAGATAGTGTTTTTACTCAAAACACTATACGAATCTTTAGGAAATTACAGCGACAACGAGATAGCTAAGGTTGCTTGCCGAAACCTTCTTAATAACTGCTGAAACCTATACGGAAAATGCTGAAACTATATTAAATCATATTAAAAATCCTGCCGAAACTTTGCCGAAATGCCGAAACCCCCATTTGCCAAAACTGCCGAAACCCTGCCGAAACTATAGTAAACATATAGTAAAATCTTGCCAAAATTTATCGCAGGATTTTGGAGAGGTTTTGGCAAGCAACCTTAGACATAGCTAAGAAGTTTACAGATTAATTCAGGAGTTAGTTCAAACTATTAGGTATATAGTAATACCGGCATTTGATACATTAGTAGAAACGATACAATTCTATTGGGAAGTCACAGACCGATTCAATAATTGGGAAGCATATTATTCAGAACAATTATCAGATACAGCCAGTAATACAAGTAAGATGTCAGGAAACCAAAATAAGACAAATAAAAATGATGAAAGTTCAAGTAGTGAACAACAATTTGGAGGAACTGAATCTACAACAAATATACAAGACAAAGCATGGCAAGACCAACAAAATGAAGAAGGTGAAAACGAAGAAGCAGAAAGTATAATATCACATGATACAGTACTCAAAAATGGTGAAGATAGTAGTTTCAGTCAATTAAGTATAGCCGATACATCAAACAACCATATTTATGATCCAAGAAAGGATAAGAAGGATAAGCAAAAGGCTAAAACTGGTGGTAGTTCAAATAAATGGAGTACAGAACCATTTTCAACTTATAAACCATATTCTGGTATTGGATTATCATCAAATCCTAAATCATTTGTAACTATAAAGCCATTTCAGGATTCA